CTTCCCATGGTGTTCTACAAGGGGAAAGTGGATTTTACACGTCTAATGCCCTCCTTTATCTGTAATTACATACAAGAATGTTAGCTTACAAAAATGCAGCCAGATGGCTGATGCATGTCCCAATGCTTTTCTCAGAAGTTTGTGTATTATGTCAGAACTTCCTTCAGGTGATAACATGACCGATGTGCTGCATGTTCATGGGATCAAGAAGTTCCCCTCATGGGACATGGACTATCATCCCCAGGGTGCAGAAAGCTCGGATCATGTAAACACGTTGCTGCCTGTCTGATGTGGACCCTGAAGACCCAACCGTTCACTCGTGTGTGCTCCCAAATCCCGAGTGCCCTCCTCCCTGACTGCCACACACCAAATCTCACTCGCAGTCTTCCAGGTGGAAGCTCTCTCGATCAGAAGCCACAGATTAATACCATCCCTTGGGGTCAAAACGAGCACCCACATCAGAAAAACGTGCTGTAGCTAAAGCTGCTATTTTTACACCTCCAAAGATCTTTTGACAATATGACACTACAGTCCCAGAGGAGGAAACATCTGCTGATGCTAAAATTAATACATTGCTGTTTTACTTCCTCTGATTACATAAATATGTGACTTTCACTCAGTCAGGTTAGCTAAACTTGTTCACCTTGGATCACCCATCAGAACAGGCGGGCTCTATCATACTACTGAGAGCAAACACGTGTACTACACTGACTGTCTGTATGATATGCTTTACAGCCTCCACACAACCTGAGCATCCCTATAGTAGTGTCGCTCATCTGTTGAATAAAAAGTAAAACTCCTTTGTGAATAATGGAGTAATTATAAGAGTTTTTAAATCCTAAAGAGAAAGAAAACATCTATGTTAAAACACAGAAAGCTCTTCAAACCAGCTACCAAGAGGCGTGTGTATAGGTGCTTTTAAAAATGTAAATAAATGTTTTGGATTGATATAATTTATTTATTTTTCAAAATGTTATTATTTGAGTGAAAATTTTAATAAATAAGTTGGTAAAGAGCCAGCATGTATTTAGTAGTTCAGTGAACTACGGAACAAAACTGAAATAATTCAACTTAGTCTAACAAACTGGACCCCCCCCCCCCCCCCACACACACACACACACACACACCCCACCCCCACCCCAGCGTCACTATTAAAATTGTTTAATCACACTGGATGTGATTATCCCACAACAGGTGATTATTTACTAAAAGCTGCAGCTAAATATTAGTGTCACAATGAGGGTGTGATGACGGTTTGCATCAAGTGTTAGTCCTCGTAATTCCAACTCAGATTTGGTGGTTATTTTTAGGAATGAGAAGTTGTTCATTCATTAAATACTACAGTAGTGCACAAACCCACCACCCAGATGGTGAGATGCTGAAAAGCACACATAGCCCGCACCAAAGAAACAGACTTGCACTTTTGTTTCTTGAACATCCTTTAGTGACCCCTGTGCTGTCTGTTCTTCGGCGTTGGGAGGAGAGGATAAGCTTGCTGCTGATTAGGCTGAATAGAATAAATAATTGGATGGCCAAAAATAATGGGAAGGGATTGGGAGGAACAATGGAGATGAAGCCCTGTGGGAGAGTTATGTTCAACTCAAGAAAAAGCATTCAAAAAACTGAGCTGAGGATTTAAGACCCCGGACCACCCCCCACAGCCATTGTGAAGGAATGTCAGAGGCTCAGGTGTCTGTATTTTCCTTTAGCTCACCAGGTGAACTCAAATGGTCTCAGGTGATCTCCTATTGAATGCTGCACCGCATTAACACTACAGAGATGGTGTGTAATTGGAAGTTTAATGAAAACGTTTTTGCTTGTATTTTGGAGGATTCGATGTCCAGAAAAATGCTAAACTCTTTCCAAAACACGTGAAAGAACTCAATTGAAATAAAAATCAATATATTTTGGCTGAATGGTATTGCCGTAGAGTGATGGCGTCATCGGCAGGCGCAGGACCTCGAGCAGATCTAGAAACTACAGTGCCAGGAAACTACAGTCGGCATTGCGTTCTCTAGATGAAATTAACCGAAGGACGATCAAAGACTGAGGAGTCACGCTGAGGTTGCATCCTTTCTCAATCAATCAATCAAAGCTTTATTTATAAAGCGCCTTCCTGTCGGGAAGCCCAAGGCGCTGAACATGGTACATGAGAAAATTGAAATATGATGAATAAATCGAAAATAAAAGCAATTCAAATATTACAAAAAAGGTAAAACATTATAGTAGAAGACAAATGGGTAAAACAAGGGATAAAGAGACCAATGAAAACAGGGAAATAAAATCAACAAAAAAGAGGGCCAAATTCAAACACGTTCAAGGAACGCCAAGCAGAGGAGGTGGGTTTTTAGGTGACTCTTAAAGGTTGGCAGAGATGGGGACAGCCTAACTGAGGGTGGCAACTGGTTCTAGAGTGACAGTGCTAGGACTGAGAAAGCCCGGTCCCCGCGAGTACGACACCTAGACCGAGGGACAACGAGGAGGCCTTGGTCTGAGGAGCGCAGAGCGCGTGATGGGGAATGTCTGTTCAGGAGTGTGGCTAGATAGGGGGGAGCACCACCCTGGAAGAACTTGTAAACAAAGGCGAGGAGTTTAAAGTGTGAATGATAACAAACTAGAAGCCAGTGCAGGGAGGCCAGAACCGGACTGATGTGGTCCAGTTTCCTGGTCCCAGTCAGGAACTTGGCTGCGCTGTTCTGCACAACCTGTAGGCGACGCAGTGATGACTGACACAACCCTGCATAGAGAGAATTGCAGTAGTCAAGTCTAGAAATTACAAAAGCATGGAGTACCCGCTCCAGGTGGGCTCTTGACAGCATAGGCTTGATTTTTGCAAGGCGTCTCAGGAGAAAGAAACTGGACCGGATCACAGAGTTGATGTGAGCATCAAATTTAAGTCCAGCGTCAATTTTCACCCCCAAACTGGTGACAACTGGTTTTGAAGAGGGCCGAGATCAACATAACGACACACAGCCCTGCTATTGGGGTGAAAAACAATGAGCTCTGTGTTTCCCTCATTCAAATGCAGAAAGTTGGCCATTAACCAAGACCTCGTTAAGACAGGACACAAAGGACTGGATAGAGAGACCTTTCTCCTGACACAATGGAGAGTAAATCTGGCAATCGTCAGCATAGAGATGGAACGATAGGCCATGACCTGCTCCACAGGTAACAACATTTACCGTAATGTTTTTTTAAACAAGCAACAGTCTACCCTGAAAGTTGTGTGCTGCCCCCTAGTGGCAAGAAACGACACACTGCCACTTTAAATGGCAAAATCTATACAAAACAGAACAAGCACAGTGCTTTCCAAGCCTGGTCCTCGAGATCTCATAACCAGCATGTTCTATGTGTGTTTCTGCTCCAACACGCCAGATTTAAATCAGCAGGTTATTAACAGGTTTCTGTAGAGCTTGATGATCTACTGAACAGGCAATTCAATTACTGAATTAAGGGAGCAGAGAAACAACTGAAACATGCTGTACAGGGATGAGGACCAGGGTTTGCGAGCCTTGATCTAGCAGAATAATAGCACATAAGCAAAAATATGCTGTCTTCTCACTGTTGGAACAGATGGTTTCATCTTTTGCAAGTAGAACATTTTTCCTTTACAGGCTGCACCTGAAGTTGTCGCTTTGTTCAAACACCTGGTTTCCAGTGACTGATCATTCCCTCATGTGAGCTTCTCCCTGGTGACTCAGGACACAACGATCCAGCCCAGCTTTGGGATGAGAGGTGAAGGAAAGGCCCAGTTAATGTGACTTTTTTACAATCACATTTATCCGTACAAGAAAAAAATTTCACTGTGTCCCTCTTGTTGGTTCTGTAAATCGATAATTTCTTGTTTTTTTGTTGCCCTAATATTTTGAATCTAACTAAAAGAAGATGAGATGAGAGGCAAGATGAAGTTAACGACTTGTAAAACGATATTGCTAAACTTTGTCCTGCCTTCTTTTGTACCTCGATTTAAAAATAGATAATAGAAACAGAGAAGATCCACTCCTGACAGTCCTACAATATGCTGATGACATTATTACTTTGCCCTAAAGCTATTTGTAGTTATGGAATCTTTAGACACACAATTATTGTATTCTTGCCAAATCTATAGAAAATGATTGCACAGTTGACCAGATTAGACAGCAACAGGCTAACATTATGTATTTTGTCTAAATGAGAGAAACATCAACCCTGCAAATATAAACATAAAAAGCAACAACCTTCTGTGCTTTCTTATTGTATCTATTGAATGTTATAGGTTGTTTGCCTACAAGTAGGTTTTTATCATTTTACTTAGGTAAATAAGAATATTTGCTAAATAAATACATGAATTCAACCATCTATTAACTAGATTGGATGTGATAATGTAACATTGTTTTCAGTTTCATCTTACTTTGCTTTCCCATCCTAATGAACGTACGATTTGGATTAAAGTATTTTTCATGACACGCTTGAAGCAAATGTAATTATTTGAACATCTTCATTTATTGTTTATGTTTTATTATCATTTGCCTTCTAAATCCTTTGGTATCCTATTTTCAGTATCAGATCATGATAACACCAGAAAAGGCATAATTGTGTAATTTTATACAGAAACCTGCACACCATAATAAATCATATGTCTTAGCTATAGAAGAAAACACAGACGTTTGAAAAAAGCAGAACCAGTAACAAAAAGCTTCATTTAGTGCATTTGTAAAAGGAAATTTAAACAACTCCCACAAACCTTCTCAACTAAAACTTCATTTTTGCCTGTAAAATCTTAAAGTAACCTTGAGAAAAGTTAAACTCAAGCTGATGTTTATGCATTCTTTAGAAAATTGCTTCATGAAAATTTAACATTGGCTATATGATTGACTTGAACTGGAACAACTGTGGATGTGCACCACTGGGAATGCCTGACGCAGCACTCCTACATCTTTGTAAAGCTGCAGATCTCTGACAGATGCCGATGTGACAGTCAGGCTGAGACTTTCACATAAAGTTTTGTGTCCTCTTCTTACCTTGTCCTACACCAGGCTCCAGAACTGAGTGATGTCTTCTTTGTCTCCGTGTTCCCATTAACCAAACTTAGTCATTCTCTCTGGATCCACCACTACAGGTGCTCAAATACTGAAGAATCCCACTCCATCATCATCTTCAGCAGAAGGCACAGACTTTCTTTAAACATCTTCATCCTTGCTTGAGTCCTTGCAGCTCCCTTTGAATCTTTGTCAGCATGGACCAGAAGCAGCTCTGCCCTGCACACGATTCACACCAGAAGCTTTGGGCTAAGCTGCCACTGCACTCTCGGGCTTGTAAAGCAGGTGCACAGCTTTTAATTAGAGCTATCCAAAGGAAAATTTGGGTTTCTGTATCTCCATCTTTTGGGCTGTTTCTTGAGCTGGTCTTCTTACTTACGATCCTTTACTTAGATAAAAACATCTAGTCTTCCCTTCACAGTTCTTAACAAAGTGTAATGTTCCCAGGCAGCTCTATCAATCTTTTGCAATCTGATCTAGTTGGACCGCTGTTCTCTCTCCCTCCTCTCTCTCTGTTCCTGCTTCGTGTGGTGTCACCAATCGCAGCCTCCCTCCCTCCCATCCTCTCTTCTCTCCTCCTCTCCTCTTCTTTTTTCCCTATCTTGTTGTCTCACCCTCCCTCCCATGTCACAGCACTACCAGTTGATAGCAACTTGATGCACAGATTCATCATTCAGAAAACACATGCAGACAGTCAGAGCATCATTGAATTTAATCAAAAACAGGTAATCAACATGAATATTTTATATAAATATCCACATATTAGCTACTACGTTTCATCAGTTTAATATACTTTTAAACTTTATATATTATCATTATTTTATTATATTCTGACCCCTAACGTGCAAAATGCTTAAAAATTGTACGTTAAATCTATTTTTTTCAATATCCCTGCTGAGGCCCAACTTACCACTCTGCTACATTGGGATGTCACATGTGATGTTGCCACATGCTAACTCTACATGAAATACAGTTGGTGTTTATATAGGAAAGAACAAGGAGATGGATGAGGGCAATAACCTGCACTGGGGAAATTACCTTCTTAGTTTTCTGGGTGGGTATATACCGGGGCACCATTTACAGAAACTAGAAGTGAGCCACATTATAGCTGAGTTTCAGATGGCAGGTTTTGGAGTCTTATTTCCTGATATTTGGACATCTCGCCCCAGACTGGATGACAGAATTGTGACTCTACTACTAACTTGCAACATGGATGCTTTATTTCCACAAATAACGCAAGCCTGGAGGAGCTTCTGCTATGTGGTGGAGTTGCTAGTGCTAGCAATTAGCTTATACTAGTCGAGACGTTCTCTAATGTTTCCTGGATGCTAAACCAACAACAGCCTTCCCTGTTGTGACTCAAGATGGGTGAGTCCATGAATATTAAGTGACAGTTTGACGTAGATGTGTCAGGCTTTTGTAACCCCAGAGTTTCACCGTCTGTTTTCTATCAGAAGCTAATGCAGGAGATAGGTGTAGGAGACTATTATACTACTTTTATTATTAGACTGGTTTTATGTTCTGCCTGCATTAAAAACTCAGAGGGACTGATTATAATCAGAAATAATCATAAAAAATGGGGCTTCCAGTGTTAAACACATTTAATGTTAAGATTTGACAAAAACATTGAAGCTCTGCCTATACCCGCTCTGAGTAAACATGCCTCCCACAGCGTCTTAAACAAGTCTACTGTTGTACTGGCCTCAGTAGTCCAGTGATGAAAGTGTCTGCTGTGCATCTTGTTTTTGTAACTATTTTTTATTACAATATCTATTTTTCCCATTTTTATAATGATTTTGAATCATTTGTAAATCTTTTTTATTTTTGTTTTTGTGAAGCGTCTCATGATTTTTATCTATTTTATTGATTTTTTTTCCTTTATTGATTTTTTTTACTGCAAAATATTTTGTGTCTGTAAAGATCTTTGAAATTGGTCATTTCCACGCAGCATTTTAGTTGATTTACTCAGCTCACCTCACATGGACGCACACTGGCTGAATAAACAAAGAAAGTAAAAAAAAAAAAAAAAAAAAAAAAAAAAAAGATTAGTCCTTATATATAATATATAACAGTTTACCAACAGTGGCCTGGGGTGGTTTCATACTCACGGCCTCAATTTTTGTCCCAGTCCGCCTCTGCATTAAGCTAGATATCAGTGCTTATCAATAAGGAGGCTAAGTCACGCCCATCTACTTCTGGACCATGGGGTCCCAGGAAGAACGAAAAAATTAATGCAAATCATTGCGGCTAAAAATGCTATTTTCCAACGTTGCTTGTCATCTACCATGGACTCTCACATATGATGTACATGAATTTTAAAGGCACATTCTGATGTCAGGAAAGTGCTTATTTTCGAACGGGGGAAAATGCTATTTTAGGTTTTGTGTGAAAATAAGTCCAGGACTAAAAATGTGCATCACGAAAGTGACGTCATCAAACAAGACATGGAGAAAATCTGAGGTAAAAGGGCTGTAAGTTCAGCGAACCACCATAAATCTGGCCATGTGGTAAGTAGCAGCTACGCTAGGGGAGAGAAGATTCTGTGGTGATGTCAAATATGCAACTTGCCAATTTCTGATTTGTAGTCATGCTACTTACGAACTTTTACAAGCTGATAGATCTCAAAATATGTGACTGGCGTGGTCGAAACACACATAATTACTTTCAATTTAAATTGAAGTGTATCATATCTGCGATTCAGCATGTATGGCAAAGTGGACTAGAAAATGGCTCTTTTAGCCACATTGACTTGCATTCATTTTTTAATTCTTCAACAAAACTCATCTAAATTCAACAAAATTCACATAGCTTCTCCTGTCAGAGCTGTGCAAATTATCTGGCTTTTTCCTTGGCAGGTGAGAGCATCACTTGTTGAACAGCTGCTGCAGCGTGACCGGGTCGAGTTGTCTTTGACTTGTGAGAGCTTGTTACTCTAATGAAAGGGTTTAAAATACAGCCTACTGGCTGCTGTGTCTCACTGGAGATAGATGCCTTTCACACTTGTCACCAGCAGCTAATCAATCAAATTTGACCTGATAATCTGTGTGTGTGTGTGTGTGTGTCTGTTTAAACTTCTCTGCAATGCTCCGAACTGAAGTGAATCGGGTGAAATGCCAGTCAGCTAAACACAGTTTTGCATTCTGAGTCTGGACTCTCCATTGGGATGGGACACCTTTGTTCACACTGACAGTATGCGCCTGTGACAGTCCATTCTCCTTGCATTTGCCTTCAGTCTGCAGCTTTTTCTCACTCACCACCAGTGTTGGGTACTTCACTGTTACCCTTGACAGCCTCAAAGTGTGGCATTATCCTCAGAGCTGAATGCTTGCTTCCCCTTCCTCTCACGTCTTTCTAGAATCAGTCATCAGTCAAATGCAAAAAGAGAAGACAATTAGTACGGGGGGGTTTGAACGAGTGAGAAGTTTCTAAATGCAGCTTAGCGCCGGCTGTATCACTAATGATTCATCAGTGCAGGAACCCTCTGTCTTTTTTTCTTGTCCTGCACCCCTTTTTCCCCATCCGTGCTCTGATTTCAGAGCTCTGAACGTGATTTGCAGTAGCTTGTGTGTGATCATCACCAGGCTATTGTGTTGGGAGGATGACGTCAACTAATGGAGCTCAAAATGTCCTCCTTTTTTTGAGCCAGGGGTCTCTCGTGCTGTGTCGGCAACAGGTATCACACTGGTTCTCGCATAATGTGGGGCTTATAGACGCCATAATGTGGAAAGCTCGGAAAATAAGGTTCCCACTTTCAGACTGTAAACCCTGTTATGTAACGGCAACATAATCACAGGTGGCTGCTCAAATATCCTTTGCATGTCTGTGTCTAAATGAGAGGGCTTTGCCTCCCAGGGACACGGCTAAGTGGGATTCACTGCTGCAACCATGGCTACAGTTATAACACTTTTTTCACTATTTTCAGACCAAAAGGAGCTGGCAGAAAACAGAGACAGAGAGAAAGAAAACATAGACTAGTTTTTATTTCATTCATAGCATAACTTTTAACTGCTTGTTGAACTGAAATCATACGTTTTTGTTAATGGAATTAACTGAAATAAATACTTTGATGTAGAAAGTGTGAATACAAATTGATACGTGAAAATAAATACCAAGACAGGGCTAAAATGAAAACGGGAGTGACAAGTGACATGCTAAAATAGCTATGGGGGACAGGAACTGGTGTTCGCGCAGTCACTGGACACCTGCCAGTTGTGGGCAGCAAGGTGTAATTTCATTAATCAGCGGAGCCCTAAGAATAAACTTTTGATCATCTCTGCAGTGATAGTGATCATGGCATTTCATTTGTTACAATGGCACTTCAGGCAGAAACAGAGCAGAGCCTCTTTGACTTATTGCTGCTGACAGTTCAATCTCTCCCTGTATCATAATCGAGAAAAATCATTTAAAGACTTTTTGACATGCTAAGGGGAATTTACTCCTACTTTTATGTAGTACTTTTTAGTTCTTGACTTTAATTAAAAAGATGAAAATAAATGTGTTTATATAGCACTTTTCACAGATAAAATAACAAAGTGCTTCACAAGAACAATAAAAATCTAAAAGCAGATCCAATAAAACAAATTCTGATTACAGGTAAAAGAGACAGAGGATACAATTAAAATGTATCTAGTCAGCTAAAACTAAGAGAGTGAGCCGCTCAAACAAACAAGTCCGTCACCTAAACATTTCCCAACGAGAACTAGAACCAGACTCTAAACAGAACATGTGAAATAACTTGCAAAGAGAACAGGACCTGCTGTCTTTCACATAGCTAACCCTACTTTGTCCTTGCTTCCTGTTTAACAACTCAAAGCAGAGAACGTGCATTTTGCGCACATAGATGGATATGCTACTTGTGAAATAATCATTAAGGTGTAATCTGGTATGTTTTTGAGCAGTATTTGACTATATTAATTTGGCTATATTAATTGATATGCTCCTTACATACTGATGGCAACCAGATAATTAAATGTTTTGTGAAAAAATAAATATTTTTATTCAACTTTCAATCCTGGGAAAACCTCATCCAATCATGGTCAACATCCTGTTCTTAAATATGTTTTTATTTTATTTTTTTACATGACAGCCATATTGGATTTTGAGGTCAATGGCTGTTTTTCAATGTCAAGGCACCTGGCCTCCCAAGGGGATGTCTTGCGAGGCCAGGCGTCTTTCTTATGAGGACACTGTCCTTCCTTGGTCAAAGAAAATGGTAAATGGAACAGACTTAAAGGTAACATTATATTTTATACATATAACTTTCAATATAAATACACCGAACAAAAATATAAACACAACACTTTTGTTTTGCCCCCATGTTTCATGAGCTGAACTCAAACATCTGAAACTGTCTACAGGCACTTAACACTCATAACTCTCAAATATTGTTCTGAAATCTGTCTACATGTGTTAGTGAGCACTTTTTTTTACCAAGACAATCCATCCCACCTCACAGTTGTGGCATATCAAGGGGCTGATTAGACAGTATGAATAATGTACAGGTGTGCCTTAGACTGCCCACAATAAAAGGCCACCCTGAAATGTGCAGTTTGATCAAACAGCACAATGCCA